AAAGTCGAAAAGACAAAAAAATGCGCGACTTCGTGGGCCGGAACATTTCCTTCCAGTTTGTCAAATTTTTTATCTTTTCATTTATACTGCCGCATTTCCTTTTTTACGAATTTAATTTCTTCAGAAATTTTTATTGTGTGCCTCATATTTTATTTGGCGTGAAACTTCGACGTAATTTGGGAGCAAGGAGATGGTTTTTCACGCATGAAGTTGTGAAGAGTTTGTGGGCTGTGATTCGGAAATCTTTCTGAATTTTTAGACTACAGTCGTCACAGCATGCCACTGATTGGCATTTATTGATTTCGTCAGTACCATATCAATAGTGATCCGATGAAGATGATGAAGTGCAGACTCAGCTCGTCTCTGCTTACACTCCGAAGACCCTTTTATGCATCGTCCAGATCATCGAACAAACCAAACGTAGGCCATACATACTTTTTAAGTTATCCCGGTGTCTGAAAACTATCACTTTTAGGTTGCTTTGGGAAAGAATGGAACCTTTAATTAAATTTGGTAATTGTAATGAGTTCTTAATTATTTTTAGTTGCCGATGGGAGGCTACACATTCGAAAATGCATAATGTACTGTGCAGTAGTGGTCTAATGACAGTAGGATGAGGACTCTTAGGCTGTGCGGAGGTGCTAATGATGCTTTTCAGCGCGGTAAAAATATCCGTTGCAAATTCAGAAATTTCGATATGCAAGAGAACTTTTTTCCTGTTTTCAGTTGCCTGAAGTTGTAATTCTCGGTGCAGCACGAACGCCAATTGGTTCGTTTCGATCTCAGCTTTCATCAGTTCCCGCTGTCCAACTCGGTGCTTTGGCTGTCCAGGCCGCTCTCACTCGTGCTAATGTCAAGCCATCCGATGTACAGGAGGTAGGCCCGCCCCTCTTTTGACCACTGATTTAGTATCGACTTCTCGATTTGTTTAACCTTTTAAATATTTTGCTGGGGCCAGTCGCACGGTGCCAATAAAAGTCGATAAATGTCCAAAGCAGGTCGAAAAAGAGTTATACACTGGTACTTGAATTGGGTAAGAAAATTAAAATTTGATACTATAGAAGAAAACTAGAGGCTAAAACGCACCACACTGCCGGTGCGATCATGCTTTTTTGCACTAAGCTTCAAACAATCAGGTCGTTAACTACATAAATGGTTCTTGCTTTCCATTTATCTTCTTTTGCACAGAGGAAACTGAACAATTTTCATTGAACGGTTCTTCTTTGAAAACGAACTGTCTATTCAGTGGGTAGTTTTCCCGACAAAACTTTTGATGCCCGTATTTGAACTTGAAATTTTTAAGCAGTACTTGCGCAGGGAACACTCCCCCCAAGTACTGTTAAAATTTTAGCTTTCCAACTTTTCTGGTTCCTGAATTAACAACTTTCACGTGTCGGTGCGCGAATGCCACGCTCATCCGGGGCTGAATTTGAAATACTTATGCTCTTCTGCATCAAGAACATCCCCTTAAAATTTTAGCTGCCCAGCCTTTCTGGTTCTTGAGTTAGCACTTTTCCTGCCAAAATCTTCGTGTGCCCATACGTGAGCACGATGCACACCTGAGGCTTGAATTTATGTCGTACTTGAATAATCCCTTAAAATTGCAGCTTCCATGCTTTTCTGGTTCCCCGAATTGGCAATTTTTTCTCCAAAACTTTCACGTACTTGCGCGCGGACAGACGTGCGTGAAGGTTGGTACCGCGGTCCTGGGGTAGCAATTGGCCGAAGAAACCACTGGCTAAATTTTAGCGCCGAAGCTTGCTTGATTGCAGAGTTGAAATATCCAAACAGACGCGCGTACGCACGCACAAACACACAAATATGCACACACACACGCACCCCGTGGATTGTCACAACATGTGTTCTTGCATTTGCATTTGTGCAGAAACGCATAATCAGTTGCTACGATCTGTTATTGGAAAAATTTAAATTTTTTTCAACCGCTGGCACTTTCTGTCAAATTTTACGATTTTGTTTGCCTGTTTCGAGCGATCTCATTCGACCTGACCACAGATTCTTCCAGTTTACTTCTTGATTATAACGTTTTAAATTTGCAGATTTTTATGGGACAAGTTTGTCAAGCAAACGTGGGACAAAATCCTGCAAAGCAAGTAGCACTTCGAGCTGGTAAGCCTCTTGTGATTGGAAATTTGTTGCAAATCAGCAGTTTTCATGTGTTTTTGCATATGTGCAAATTACAAAACCCCATATTGGGAAGAGGCGCATATTAGGAAGAGGCTGTGTGTGTCTGTGTCTGTGCGTCCGCACTTTTTGTCACCCACTTTCAACTCGAAAACCAGAGAAGTTAGAAGGCTGGAACCTTGGAAGTATGTGCCCATACAATGCACGACCCACCCGTTTTGATATCGTCCTCCGTGGACTCCTCGGTGTCGCGTACGAACGCTTTAAAAAAGTACGCAAATTTTTTGGCGGGAAAGCCAAAAAATTTGCGCACTTTTTTTTCGGGATCACTTGAGCTAAGGAGCTGAAACTCTGCAGGGATATTTCCTGTGCATGTACTAGCTAAAGATTTCTAATTCAGCTGCCACTTATGCTTGCTACTCACGTAAGGGCGTATGAAAGTTTTGGGGGAGAATTACTAACTCGGGTACCAGGAAAGCTAGAAGGCTGAAATTTTGGGGAATGTTCCTTATTCAAGTACAACTCAAATATTTCGAATTCAGCCTCAAGCTATGCGTGATACGCACCCAAGGGCTTATTAAAGTTTCTGCAGGAAAATTATTAACTCGGCAACTAGAAGAGCTGGAAGGCTGAAATTTTAGGCGGATGTTCCCTGTACATGTGCAATTTAAAAATTTAAAATTCAGCTTTCGAGGCACGTGGAGTGCCTGGAAAGCTGAATTTAAAATTTTGAGTTAGCACTTTTCTCGCCAAAACCTTCACCCGGGTACGTGAAGGTTTTGGCGAGAAAAGTGCTAACTCAGTAACCAGAAAAGCCGGAAGCTGAAATTTTGAGGGAATGTTCCCTGTCCAAGTACAACTTAAGTATTTCAAATTCAGCCTTGA